TTGGATTCCTTGGCCTTGGCCATAGTCTATCAATTTCTATAAACATAAGCATTGATATCATCTCTTCATTACTGCTCTTTGAGAGAAAATTAAGGATCACAAGGACTTTTTGAGGGTTCTACTGAGGCTTGGTTAACAAGGGAATGTGGTTTTTCAGATTTACAAGGTTTAAACTTAAGAGAGTAAAATGAAAATGATCCAAGCATTCCACCTTGTTCACTCTTAATGTTCAACTCCAACCAAATCTCTCGGCCCAAAATCTTCCTCTCATTACATGCCCTTTTACCTCAAAATTTGCTGCCTAGATTTTAAGAGACCCCTCTCTCTTTTAAGATTATTTATATAGGTGCTTGTTGATTTTGCTTTTGATTTGATTCTTTGATTTTGATTTTTTTTTTATTTTTTTGATTTTTTTGATTTTTTTGATTTTTTTGATTTTTTTGATTTTTTTTTTTGAGAATATGATACTGATAGAATGAAACTAACAAGCACACTTGAATTTGAACAGTGAAAATGATGGAGGGGTGACTCTTCCCTTCAACTTTGCATTAGTTTAATTTCACCACTTCCTCTCAACTTGGCAATTTTTACCAACTACCCTAACTTAATTTCCAATTCACTTTCATTTACTCTCAAAAGTTTGGTCAGGGTGATGAGTTGGTATTTGGGAATGGTTTGAGGTTATTTGAAGGTTAAGGCTCAAACAGGTTTTAAAGGATGGATTCAATTATGGCTGACTGTTTGGCTCTAGGCTTAAAAAAAATTTCAGTTATTTACAAGGGAATGCCTTGATCCTGTCCAAAACTTTCTCACAAGAACAATCATTCAAGATTCAACCAATGCAAACACATATATTATGATGATGGCTCTCGAAAGTGGAAATATATGTAATATATGCACTGTTTGGTCTCTCTCACTCACCAGCTTGGCTAAATGTTCAATTATTGATTTTTCATGCCATGCTAATCAAATAACTCACAATTTCATGATCAAACGGAGTTGGATGAGTGCAATCTCAAAACAAGTCGCAAAACAACTATTCTTAAGTGAATTAAAAGATGTATTTTTCCTTTTTGTTGATCTAAAAGTTAACTCATTAACTTCTTCTCAAGAATAATTTTCAATGTTTTCCAAAAAATACCTATATATGTATATAATTATATATCTATTTACATTTTTTTTACTACTGCTCTTAGAATAACTAAGGTGCAAACTCCAAACAAAACAATTATTATCCCAAATTCAAACATTAGCAATTGCACCACCAAGTATGACATTCAACCAAAGCACCAAGTATGTCATTCAACCAAAACACCAGAAGTTTAAGCATCTAACCCAAAACAAGCAAATCACCAAATAGTTTAAACGATTAACCGAAATTTAAATGACTGAAATTTAAATTGACAGAAATTAAAATTGCATGAATTTAAAGTAAAACTCTGCTTCCTCAGAAAATGGCTCAGAAAGTGGGTGACAGTGACCCTTCATCTTCAAATCCTTCTTCATTTTCCTCTCCTCCATCATTTCCTTCTTCTTCAACTTCAGCATCAGACCTCTGTCCTTGTTCACCTACATGAGGCTGCTCAGGCTCACCAGGCTGCTCAGGCTCACCACCCCCTCCTGAAAACACAGGACTATCCCCAGGCCAACAAATAACATCCTGAAATTGCTCTGGTGTAGGCCAAGGATATAAGCTTCCACCGGTACTGGCCTGATTTAGAGTGTAGTGGTAAAAATAAGAGTGCAAAGCCACTTGCCCTCGATGATTGGCAGCTTGTTGAAGTTGGACATGGCGAAGATGAGCCATTTCTAATTGGTGCTGCTCCTCCATGTGCTGAAAATGTTGCATCATACAAGCCTGCATGGTAGACAAATCGAAGGATCCAGTTGGCGGAACTGGAGGTGAGGTAACTGGTGGTGTAGATTGGGTAGGTGGTGGCCGTGATCTACTAGATGCCCGAGGAAACTCTTGTGGGTTATAGCAGCGAGCATTGACAAATACATGATCTATCGTCCTCCAACGGCTGAGGAATCACCACTCCTTTGGCTTTGCATAAGCCTGTAATCAATCCAGGAAAAGCTAGGGGTCTGACAGCACTAGACTTAGAAGGTTTAGAAAGGACAATAGCATGAATTTCATTTGATATTAAAGTCGCTATGTCCACATCCTTCTGTAGCAATATACAAACAATCAACTTTGCCTTGGAGATGGTAATGTCAGAAGTGTGTGTGAGTGGGACGACATTGCTTTAGAGGACGGCCTGCCATAAACGCACAAGTGATTTCAAATCAGCTCGAAGAATGTGGGTGGGTTGGCTCTTCGTGCCTGTTTGGTATTGGCTACCTGGAAGGCTCAGAGTCTCAAGCATCAAAGTTGACATCTCCTCATCCATTGCGGTCCTCATGAGCTTTCTATAATCATCTTGTTCCGGGATGGTATACCCAGTTTGCAAGAAGGTGTTGATGGTCGCTGGATCATAAGCAATGGTTTTACCTCTCACCCATGAGATTCTATCCTTGGAATCAGGTCGTACAGGAAAGGCATTAGCATAGAAATCTCGAATGATGATTTCATTGTATTTGTCTTCTGGCTCACCAATCTTGGTCCAATTCCTCCTTTGATATTCATCCGTGAAATCTATTAAAGGAAGTATTTCATTCACCGGACGCTCAACTATAATTTGGCGGCTTTCTAAATCCAAAAATCTCTGTTGCTTGTGTCTGGTGCGAAATCGGCTTGGAAGGAAAGTGAAATTTCTTGATGGAGGAGGGGGTAGCTGAGGTGAGGATGGTGCTTCTTTGTCCTCAGAGGAGGATACTGATGGGGTTGGGGAGGAGGTAGCCACTTTCTTTCTTTTTTATCAGCTGGGATCTCATGAGTGGCTCTAGAGCTTCTGCCTGAACCTCCCCCTCTTGAACGAACCATCTGAAAAATTAAATCCATTCTTGCAACCAAGTTAGTACACAAGTGAATCAGAGATATTGCTCAGCACATTTCATTTAGCTCTAAAATTGTATACAATGCATTTCATTTAACATCCCAAAATTCAAACTTTTCAAACCCAGAAGAAAATCAATTCCACCTTGTATTTTCATGATGATCAAAGAACCTAGAAGTGATGAATATGTATGAGGGATGTGCACGTGGTTCATGTGAGAACAAGATAAAAGTTGATAAGAAAAACAACATGCACATGCATTCTTGTCCATTCAAGGGTTAGAGTTCATGACAGTAAAATAATAGTGTCCATTTGGCATTCAAATTGAAAACCCTTCTCATTCAAGCATTTCGTCAAAAACGAAGCAAGCACAAAATATGAAAGCTCATGCATGTGTTACATTGAAGACTCAAACATCCAAATTCATGCTTTTCACACTTGGGTACTTCCAAGCCAATCAAAAAGTTCAAAAATTGATGAGAGATTATGAAAAAGGTTAAAGAAGAGGAAACTCTCACAAACACGAGGAGCATTGGAAGAAGGAAGAAGATTTTACCTTGAAATCCTAGCAAAAAGATGAGTGCTTTGGTGTTTTAGTGTGGAATGACTAAGGAAAAAGGAAATCTTGATGCCTCAAATTAGAAGCTTTCTAGAGAGAATGTGAGGAGGAAGATGGAGAGTGGGGAGAGGGAGGGTTTTCGTGAGTGGATGAAGTAAGAAATGAAGAGGTGGAGAGAGGAGGTTCAGTTTTAAAAACTGACCCAAATGGTTGTGTTCCATGGTCTTAAATTGGCGCTATGGCTGTGAGACTTGGCGCCTGAGCGCTGAAGATATAAATGGCCAAAGAGTCATGGCAGAGAGTTGGCGCTATAGCGCTGGATATGGGCTCTTGAGCGCTGGGGATTCTCCTTCAACCAGAAAGTTGGCGCTAAGGTCGTGGAAACTGGCGCTCCAGCGCTGGGAATTTAATATCACCATTGTAATGTGCAAACAGAGACTTGGCGCCTTAGCTGTGGGCGTTGGCGCCTTAGCTGTGGGCGTTGGCGCCTTAGTTGTGGATTTTAATCACATAAAGAGCTTGGCAGAGACTTGGCGCCTTAGCTGTGGTTTGTGGCGCTTGGGCTGTGGAGATTTTAAACACAAAAATGGGCAGACAGCAAGTTGGCGCTAAGGCCATGGAATTGGCGCTACAGCTGTGGACTTTTTGAAATGCAATTAGGCTCAAACAGAGACTTAGCGCCATGGCTGTGAATCCTGGCGCTTAAGCGCTGAGTCTCATATATGCAAACTATATGTACAGAGACTTGGGGCCATAGCGGTGGGCCTAGCGCTTCAGCGTTGAAAGTTGAAATACACCAACAAGTCCTACAGAGAGTTGGCGCCATGGCTGTGAGCCTGGCGCTTGAGCGTTGGGACTTAAACTTAAGATTCTAAGCTTTTCTCTTCCAAATAGAACAATACCAATTGATGGCTCACTTTCCTATTCACATCACAACCAACGAGACCAACATTGCAAACACATAAAGCCAGATTCATTCTTAGTCTCCCTGAGCTTTTAAACTATACCATCATCCCACATTGGTACCCAAGTTTAAAACTGATTTTTTCATTAAATCTCAAAACATCACAGAATCACAAAATATTATGTACTTAAACATCAAGCAGCCAAAACTCATTATAACACCACAAACAACATGGAACCAAACCTCCCTATAAATCAAGATATTCCACTACACACTCCAAATCATTAAACTACTCAACATTCAAACAAAAAAATGGCATCCAAAATCCTAACACACAACACATAAACAAAACTTAAACTAAATCAGAAATGTTAAACATATTCCACAGCATGCAAATCATCAAGCAACACTCATTCTAAAATTAAGCAACTCTATGAACAAAAACAAAATTTAAAACAGAACTTAAAACATGAACATGCTAATTTAATGTCTTTAGCTTGACAATCCTGTTTGTTCATGGCTCCTTCAAATGTGTGCTGGTAGTGAATCTCTTAACTTCACCACCCAAATAATGCTTGAGCCTCTGACCGTTAACTAACCAAGTCCTTCCAGAAACAGGATCTTCAAGTTCAATGGCTCCATAGGATTTGACAGATTTAATTGAGAAATGACCTGACCATTTAGATTTGAGCTTTCCAGGGAAGAGTTTCAACCTGGAATTGAACAGTAATACCTGCTGGCCAGGTTGGAAGTTCCTATTCAGAATCTTCTTGTCATGGTATATCTTGGCTTTGTGCTTGTAGGACTTAGAAGAATCATAGGCTTGCAACCTCATTTCTTCCAATTCATGCAATTGAAGCTTCCTTTTCTCCCCTGCTGCCTTCAAATCATAATTTAAGGCCTTCAAAGCCCAAAATGCTTTATGTTCCAATTCTACTGGCAAATGACAAGCTTTACCATAGACAAGCTGAAATAGTGAGAACCCAATAGGAGACTTGAATGCAGTCCTATAGGCCCATAGTGTGTCATCTAGCTTCAAAGCCCAATCCTTCATAGAACTAGCCACTGTCTTCTCCAGAATCCTCTTCAACTCTCTGTTGGATACCTCAGCCTGCCCATTGGTTTGAGGATGATACGGTGTGGCTACCTTGTGCCTGACATTTTAGTGCTCCAGAACTTTTTGCAATTGAGCATTGCAAAAATGAGATCCGCCATCACTAATTAGTACCATTGGTGATCCAAACCTGCAAAAAATGTTTTTCTTCAAAAATTTAATAACAGTTCTCGCATCAGCTTTTTGTACAGCACTAGCCTCTACCCATTTTGAAACATAATCAACTGCCACAAGGATATACTCATTCCCAAAAGATGATGGCAAAGGCCCAATGAAATCAATTCCCCAACAATCAAAAATCTCCACTTCTAGGATGTTTTGCAGGGGTAACTCATGTCTCTTGGAAACTGTCCCTGTTCTTTGACACTTATCACAGGCTTTGCAATGTTCATATGCGTCTTTGAAAAGGTTTGGCCAATAAAATCCAGACTGGAGAACCTTTGCTGCTGTTCTTTCACCATTATAATGTCCTCCATAGGGTGAGTTATGACAATGCCACAGGATATCTTTGATCTCATCCCCATAGACACACCTTCTCAATAAACCATCAGCACCTATCTTAAACAAATATGGATCATCCCAGACATAGAAGTTAGAATCCCTGAAGAACTTCTTTCTTTGATGCCAATTGTATTCTTCCGGAACAACCCCTGCTGCTTTATAATTTGCCATATCAGCAAACCAGGGTCTTTCCCTTACTACAAATAACTTTTCATCTGGAAATTCTTCTAGGATTTCTTCTTTTTGACTGGTCACCTCCTCATTGACAAGTCTGGATAGGTGATCCGCGACATGGTTCTCACATCCCTTCTTATCCTTGATTTCTAAATCAAACTCTTGTAGCAGAAGAATCCACCGAATCAACCTTGGCTTTGAATCTGCCTTTGTCAACAAATACTTGATAGCAGCATGGTCAGTATAAACAGTGATCTTTGAACCCACAAGGTAAGAACAAAATTTTTCTAATGCATACACTATGGCAAGTAACTCTTTTTCAGTTGTTGCATAATTAATTTGATTTTCATTCAGCACCTTACTTGCATAGTGAATAACATGAAAAATTTTATCCTTCCTTTGGCCCAAAGCAGCTCCTATAGCATAATCACTCGCATCACACATTAGTTCAAAGTCAAGTTTCCAATCAGGAGCAGTGATTATAGGAGCTGAAACAAGTTTGCTTTTTAACAATTCAAAAGCTTGTAAACAATCATGATCAAAATCAAACTTGTTATTTTTAAGAAGAAGGTTACTAAGAGGCTTAGCTATCTTGGAGAAATCTTTGATAAATCTTCTATAAAATCCTGCATGCCCCAAAAAGCTTCTAACCCCTTCACATTGATTGGTGGTGGCAACTTTGAGATGATATCAACCTTGGCTGGGTCTACCTCTATGCCTTTCTGAGAGACTTTGTGGCCAAGAACAATGCCCTCTCTGACCATGAAGTGACATTTCTCCCAGTTCAGCACCAACTTAGTCTCTACACACCGCTTGAGAACAGTGTTGAGATTATTAAGGCAAACTTCAAAAGACGAGCCAAACACGGAGAAATCATCCATGAAGATTTCTATGCATTGCTCCACAAGATCAGAAAAAATTGCAAACATACAACGCTGAAAAGTAGCCGGTGCATTACACAATCCAAATGGCATCTTCCTGTATGCAAATACACCAAAAGGACAAGTAAAATCTGTCTTCTCTTGGTCTTCTGGATCCACAGCAATCTGATTGTAACCTGAGTAACCATCCAGAAAACAATAGTAAGCTTGCCCTGCTAACCTTTCAAGCATTTGATCCATGAAAGGCAATGGGTAGTGATCTTTTCTTGTGGCTTGGTTCAGCTTCCTGTAGTCTATACACATCCTCCACCCAGTCACAGTACGAGTGGGAATCAATTCATTCTTCTCATTATAAATCACAGTCATACCTCCTTTCTTAGGCACAACTTGCACAGGACTAACCCAAGCACTGTCAGAAATTGGATATATCATACCAGCTTCAAGTAACTTGGTAACTTCCTTTCTCACCACCTCTTTCATAGTTGGATTCAAGCGTCTTTGAGGTTGTGCTACTGGCTTGTAATCCTGTTCCATATGAATCTTGTGCATACAATAGGCAGGACTGATTCCTTTCAAACCCAATAACACCTTCATTGACTTTTATCACTTGAATCAATTTCTCCTCCTGCTCTTTTGAAAGCTGGCTGCTGATTATGATTGGCTTCCCACCATTGTCTTCTAAGAAGACATACTTTAACTGTGGTGGCAATTGTTTCAACTCCAACTTCACTATTTGATCTTTCACCTCCTTTTTCAATTCTTCCTTTGACTGAACATTGGTTAATGAGCTTCCACCTTTGTTCAATGCATCAATCACATCCTGGACTTCCTCCTCTATGACTTTATCCAACTCTTCATTAAACATAGACAAAGCCTTCTCCAATGGTGATGAATTCTTGAAACTGCTTTGAGTTTCCAAACACACATCATCTAACACATCAATTCTGAAACAATCCTTATTGTCTTTGGGAAACTTCATTGCTTCAAAAACATTGAAATTCACCTCTTCATCTTGAACTCTCACCTTCAGCTTTCCATCATCCATGTCTATGATAACTCTAGCTGTCTTCATGAAGGGTCTGCCCAGAATCAATGGAACTTCCAAATCTTCTTCCATGTCCATGACCACAAAATCAACTGGAAACATGAACTTGTCAACCTTTACAATCATATCTTCCACTATGCCATGTGGAAGCTTAATGGATCTGTCTGCCAATTGCAGGGTCATTCTTGTAGGTCTCACTTCCACTTCTCCTATCTTCTTCAACATGGATAAAGGCATCAGGTTAATACTGGCTCCAAGATCTAAGAGTGCCTTACCCACTGAAAGATTACCAATTGATACAGGGAGAGTGAAACTGCCTGGATCTCTAGACTTCTGAGGTAGAGAATTCTGTATAATAGCACTGCATCCTGCCTCAAGCTCTACAGTCTCTTCTTCAAGAATTCTTCTCTTTTTAGTTAATAATTCCTTCATGAACCGAGCATACGTGGGCATTTTCTCCATGGCTTCAGTGAAAGGAATATTGATTTGTAACTTCTTAATGATATCCAGAAATCTCAGGAATTGTCTTTCTTTTTCTTTCTTGGAAGGAGCATGAGGGTAAGGTAAGTTTTTTATAGGGACAATAGAATTGACTTCCTTGCCCTTCTTTTTATTCTTCTCCTTCCTTTTTTATCAGCTGGGATCTCATGAGTGGCTCTAGAGCTTCTGCCTGAACCTCCCCCTCTTGAACGAACCATCTGAAAAATTAAATCCATTCTTGCAACCAAGTTAGTACACAAGTGAATCAGAGATATTGCTCAGCACATTTCATTTAGCTCTAAAATTGTATACAATGCATTTCATTTAACATCCCAAAATTCAAACTTTTCAAACCCAGAAGAAAATCAATTCCACCTTGTATTTTCATGATGATCAAAGAACCTAGAAGTGATGAATATGTATGAGGGATGTGCACGTGGTTCATGTGAGAACAAGATAAAAGTTGATAAGAAAAACAACATGCACATGCATTCTTGTCCATTCAAGGGTTAGAGTTCATGACAGTAAAATAATAGTGTCCATTTGGCATTCAAATTGAAAACCCTTCTCATTCAAGCATTTCGTCAAAAACGAAGCAAGCACAAAATATGAAAGCTCATGCATGTGTTACATTGAAGACTCAAACATCCAAATTCATGCTTTTCTTTTTTATCAGCTGGGATCTCATGAGTGTCTCTAGAGCTTCTGCCTGAACCTCCCCCTCTTGAACGAACCATCTGAAAAATTAAAACCATTCTTGCAACCAAGTTAGTACACAAGTGAATCAGAGATATTGCTCAGCACATTTCATTTAGCTCTAAAATTGTATACAATGCATTTCATTTAACATCCCAAAATTCAAACTTTTCAAACCCAGAAGAAAATCAATTCCACCTTGTATTTTCATGATGATCAAAGAACCTAGAAGTGATGAATATGTATGAGGGATGTGCACGTGGTTCATGTGAGAACAAGATAAAAGTTGATAAGAAAAACAACATGCACATGCATTCTTGTCCATTCAAGGGTTAGAGTTCATGACAGTAAAATAATAGTGTCCATTTGGCATTCAAATTGAAAACCCTTCTCATTCAAGCATTTCGTCAAAAACGAAGCAAGCACAAAATATGAAAGCTCATGCATGTGTTACATTGAAGACTCAAACATCCAAATTCATGCTTTTCACACTTGTGTACTTCCAAGCCAATCAAAAAGTTCAAAAATTGATGAGAGATTATGAAAAAGGTTAAAGAAGAGGAAACTCTCACAAACACGAGGAGCATTGGAAGAAGGAAGAAGATTTTACCTTGAAATCCTAGCAAAAAGATGAGTGCTTTGGTGTTTTAGTGTGGAATGACTAAGGAAAAAGGAAATCTTGATGCCTCAAATTAGAAGCTTTCTAGAGAGAATGTGAGGAGGAAGATGGAGAGTGGGGAGAGGGAGGGTTTTCGTGAGTGGATGAAGTAAGAAATGAAGAGGTGGAGAGAGGAGGTTCAGTTTTAAAAACTGACCCAAATGGTTGTGTTCCATTTAACATCCCAAAATTCAAACTTTTCAAACCCAGAAGAAAATCAATTCCACCTTGTATTTTCATGATGATCAAAGAACCTAGAAGTGATGAATATGTATGAGGGATGTGCACGTGGTTCATATGAGAACACGAAGTTGAAGAATTCAGAAAATCCTACTGTTGTTTTTGGATTCTCTCTAACTGTCTCAACCTTCTTGTTCTACTGTTATTCCTCCTTGCCGTTCTTTC